GGGAAGCTCCACGTCCTGCTCTTCAAGGTCAGTGACCGCGGGCGTCCCCCAAGCCGGGGCCTTTTCCCCGCCTCCGGGCTACCGTCTGGGGGCTCCCGGCTCCCATCCGCCCACCACACCCACATTCCTGGCCCTGCCCTAGGGAACAGACTTCCAGAGCCGCACCCGCTCCCCACACCCGGCCCCTCCCCGCTCCGCCACGCCTGAACCCGGTCTGGCCAATCAAAACCCGGCCAGCTCTAGTCAGGACACGTCCACGGAATTTGCTCCAAGTCTCACCCCATCCCTGAAAGAAAATAACGGTGGTGGAAGGGCATCCCGCCACAGCGCATCGCCCCGCCTCCAGTTCTCGCCCCTGCGGCCACCCTCCTCCTCTGGCGCCCCTAAGCGGGTCCCACCTATTGAACAAACTTCTGCAGTTCGCCCCGCCCCCTGCTTTCCACGCCTGCCTTTTCTTCCCCACTCCGGCAGCGGGGGCTGAGGGTGGGGCGGGCTCCCCTGCTGTAATGGAGGAGAGGCACAGGCTGGTGCGGGGCAGGGGGCTGCCGGGGTCAGCGCTGTGTCCATCACCTGCAGGAGGAGGCTGAAATCCCAGCCAGAGCCTTCCAGAAGGCGCCGGAGCCCTTAGGCCCGCTGGAGCAGTCTGAGCCCGGCCCAGAGCAGCTGGAGGCTGAAGTTGGGGAGAGCTCGGATGAGGAGCCCGTGGAGTCCAGGGCGCGGCGGCTGCGGCGCACGGGGTTAGAGAAGGTACAGAGCCTGCGAAGGGCCCTATCGGGCAGAAAAGGCCCTGCAGCGCCCACGCCTGTCAAGCCTCCCCGCCTTGGGCCTGGCGGGAGCGCTAATGGCCAACCCGAAGAAGCTCTGCCTGCGCTGGAGTCCAAGCTGGAGCCAGAACCTCCGCAGGACACCGAGCAAGATCCCGGGAGACCTGGGGCTGCCCAGCTGGCCGTGCTCCAAATAGAGAGTGCGGCCTGATGGCTGGTGCGCCTGCCTCCCCTGTGCCTATGCTTAGTCCCAAAATAAATCTTCCTCTCGGAAGGCAGCATTCACGCCCAAATAAGGAGCGGATCCTGCATCCACAGCCCAGCCTTGGTCCTCCCTCCCGGGATCCTTCAGCCCAGCACCCTGGGTCCTGGGAGCAGCCACTTACATCTGCTTGTACTCACCATCAATAAAAGCAATGCTACCTAATCCAGACTCCATGGGAAGGGGTAGGGAGCCGGGGGGGGGGGGGGGGGGGGGGGGGGGGCCCTAGCGCCAAGGAATAAGACAAACGTGGGAACCAGGAATGTGGCTTCCATTTCAGATCGTTGTGTGATTTCTCTAGTTTCCACTGAATCTGAGGCTCTACTCTAGGGGCACATGCAAATATCCTGCTGGCCACTTGCTCCTTAGGTGCTTTCCTCATGGGGACACATCCTGTACCGTCCCTCGCTGTAGGTTCTCAATACATGCTAACTTGTGGTTTTCCTCTTAGTCTCATCTTCCTCTACCACCTCCTAAGAGTTGAGTTTCCCAGGATTCTGTTCTCAGCCCTCTTCTCATTCTGGGTACTCCTCAGTTAACATTCACTTCTACCAGCCACATACCTCCCAGACCATGGCCTTGAGCTGAAAAGTGCTGCAAATTCAATGTGTTCAACCTATCTTCTTCTGTGTAAGTAAGCCCAATTTCAGTTCTGCAGCTATTTATTGGACACTTCCTATCTATTGTTCAAAATTGCTCCTCCTCTTGTGTTTTCTTTACTAATGAATGGCGCCATCATCCACGCGGAAATCTGGCAGTCCTCTGACAAGTCCCTCTCACACTCCTCTACCAATGGAAACAGTCATCCCATTGCTTTAACCTCTGTAATCTGTCCACTTTTCTTTTTTAAAAAAATATACCTTTATTGCTTTCAGAGAGGAAGGGAGAGGGAGAGAGAGAGATAGAAACATCAATAATGAGAGAGAATCATTGATCGGCTGTCTCCTGCACGCCCCATACTGGGGATCGAACCTGCAACCCGTGCATGTGCCCTGACTAGGTATCAAACCATGACCTCCTGGTTCATAGGTCGATACTCAACCACTGAGTCACGCTGGTCAGGCTGTCCACTTTTCTTAATACGCATGGCCACTGTTCCATCTCAGGCCTTCCCTTTCACCTGACATTCACATTATGCGAACTGCCAATCTGATCCCATCACCCTCCTGATTCAGACCCTTCAATGGCTCCGCATCACCTTAGAATAAAGTCCAAGCTCTTTAACATTACCTTCAGTATCTTCATATAACCTTTTTGTAGCCTCACCTCTTGCTACTTCCCTTAATTCTAACTAAATTGCACTAAGCAGTGTATTCTAACTCTCCTCTCTACTGTCCTGCAAAACTCAGCAAGCTACTCCTGTTTCAGGGCCAGGGGCTTCTCTTCCTTGCTCCCAGCACCACCTGCACACCTCAGTGCTACCTGCACTAATCCTGATTATTGGCAATTTCTCTCCCAATCCCACGCCTCTAGACTATGGTTCCTTTGCAGTAGGGACCGTTTTATTCATTTCTGTATTTCTCACACCAAATACTATGCTTAGCACCCAGTAGGGCCTCATAAAGCAAGAATATCTCACAGAAGTGAGAAGCAGGAGGGATTGGCTAGGGATGAGAGCACGGTCATCCACTCATGCATTCAGTCCTTGCCTATGAAAGTGTTTTCTAGTACCTACCTGTGTTCCAGGCTCTATGCTAGGACTTGTGAACACCGAGATGACAATCCTTTCTGAGTCTGTCAAGGACCTCAGAGTTTAGGGAAATACAAACATAATTACTAGAGGCCCAGTGCACGAATTCATGCACCAGTGGGGTCCCTCTGCTTGGCCTGCGGGATCAGGCTGAAACCAGCTCTCCAACATCCTCCGAGGGGTCCCGGATTGCAAGAGGGTGCAGGCCAGGCTGAGGGGCCCCACTGGTGCACGACTGGGGGCAGGGAGGGATGCGGGAGGTTGGCCAGCCAGGGAGGGACTGTGGGAGGGCTCCAGGGCGTGTCCGGCCCATCTCGCTCAGTCCCAATCAGCGGGACCCCCGCAGCAAGCTCACCTACCAGTCGGAGCGTCTTCCCCCTGGTGGTCAGTGCACGTCATAGTGAGCAGTTGAGCGGCCTTAGCATATCATTAGCATATTACACTTTGATTGGTTGAACGGCCAACCAGACGACCAGACACAGCATATTAAGCTTTTATTATATAGGATGATGAATGATGTAAGTGCAGGAATAGACACAGGTTATGTTGAGAGGAAAGAGACACAACCTAACCTGAAGGAGGAAAAGTGGAGGATGTTTAAGGAAGTGCTCTTGGAAAAAGGTAAATAGTGGGATGGATGGAAAACAGGAGTGGCGAGGGGCAGTAGAGCTCAATGGTTAATAATAGTTTCTCAGTTCCTTCATCTATAAAATGGGATAATCATAACCCCTACTGGACTGATGTGAGCATTACAGGACATAAGTGCCTAGCACAGTGCCTGGAATGCAGTTAATTTTAGCTGTATAATTCATTCATCCGCTCATTCCACAAATATTTACTGAATTCCGAGTGTCTGCCAGGCACTATTTTAAGAGCTAGGGATACAGTGGCATGTAAGAAAGACAGGATCCCTGCCTTTGTGGGCTTAGTAGGGGGAGACAGGCAATACACAAGTAAATGTCCAAGCCAGATAAAAACGAGTAAACATATGAACTAGAGGGACCTTATGGATATGGGATCTGAAGAAAACAGGAAGGATGCACACAGATAATGATCAGGAGAAAGAGGGCTTCCCATGAGAACACTGGGGATTTAAAATCGCACCCTCTCCCCATCTCTCACTTTGGATGTCTCTGCTGCTATTGCTTCTTATGACCACATGATGCCACTGTTGGGGAACCAGTGTCCTGGCTGATGCCTTGTCTACCAACCCTGAGGCCTGCCTGTCTGGTTCTGTGTCCTGAACCAGAGGTCCTTCCATGGAGGGCAGCTCTGTAGTAGCTCTGGTCCCTCTGGAGAAACTCAGGGCTCCTGCAGGCTTCCAAGTCTAGGTCAGAGACTGTACCAGCTTCCCAGCAGCCACTGCTTTCAGGTCCTGCCATCACAGAAGGGCTTGTCTGGGCAGGCTCGCTTCTCCATCCTCAAGGAAAAAATAAATTCTTGTTCTTTTTCCAAATCCTTGGAAATCCAGCCAATTACCTGCTTTCGACCCACATACAAAATTAATGTACTGCACATTTCTCACATAAAATGTCTTGATAGCTCATTGGAAATCACACAAAGGACCAGAGACTCTGATCGTTGGGAACCTAAAGGCTTGGCTAACTTAGGTGGGAGGGATATACTTTTCTTTCTTTTTTAAAAATCCTCACCTGAGGACATGCTTAGAGAGAGGAAGGGAGAGAGAGAGAAGAGAGAGAGAGAGAGAGAAAGAGAGAAATCAATGTGAGAGAGAAACATGATCCCCTGTCCTCCATGCATGCCCTGAACCAGCAACCTTTCAGTGCATAGGGCAGTGATGGCGAACCTATGACACGCGTGTCAGAGGTGACACGTGAACTCATTTTTTTGGTTGATTTTTCTTTGTTAAATGGCATTTAAATATATAAAATAAATATCAAAAATATAAATCTTTGTTTTACTATGGTTGCAAATATCAAAAAATGTCTATATGTGACACGGCACCAGAGTTAAGTTAGGGTTTTTCAAAATGCTGACACGCCAAGCTCAAAAGGTTCGCCATCACTGGCCTAGGGCAACAATCAACCAACTGAGCCACTCTGGCGAGGCGGGATGATACTTTTTATGCCTTCCTGATACTTCTACAGCAGCAAATAATAAAAATCACATTGAAAATATAATTTCTTAATAGTTGTCTTTGTTACATTGCACTCTCTATCATTACTGCTATGGTTATTATTAGTATGATTATAAACTAGAGGGAGTGGAGATACTGATGTTACAGAATTTACCAGTTGAGCGAAAAATACGCAGGAGTACCGGAGATACAGGAAAAACCCTTTTTACTTATTTTCAGATGCTCCACATGTACTAGTACAGTGACTCAGGGAAGACTGTTTCCCTCCAAATCCTGAGCAAACCAATATGGAGGAAGCTCTCCCTTTATACCCCTTTGGTTTCTTTGACCCCCCAAATATGGATGGGACTTCCGGACCTTTCGTGGTTTTGCAAACAGCCCCCGGTGTTGGGATAGGGGCCGTGAGACCTCACCTAAAGGCCTGGCCTAGCGCCAGTGTTGATAACCCCCTCCGGGCATTGTGTATTGTTCATGGTTTATGGCCTCTGTAAAATGTGAGTATTTAGGTAAACAGGTCTTGCAAGACCAGATTGTGGAGAAAGGGGCAGTGACTTAATTATAGGCTATCAAGAATGTGCATTAGGTTACTGGCACAGATTCAGATTGCTAGCTGCCCCACCACCCCTCCAAATGTCTTATTTTCCCCATCACTGACTCAGAATACCAACTTGTCATCCAGATATGTGGCATTTATATGGCTGCTTTAATTAGGGGGAGGCACACTGGTGAATTATCAATATGCAGAGATTGGTTCTCAGTTCCTCCGACCAGATGCACAGATTTATTATGCCTTCCAGCATGATTAGGCTGAGAGGGACTGATCTGTAATGATCAAACTCAGAAAACATGGATTAACTTGAGAGCCAAATTAATTAATTTCTCTAAGACATCTAACTGCTAACTGACCTAGAATAATCTAGTTAACTAATCAGAATTCATTCCATCCTGCAATATGACAAGCCAAAGCAAGGCTTTTTAAAGTGTAAGGAAATAGAATAGTAGAAATAGGATGAATTCAATGGGCAGGATAATCCAATCTCTATGCCCATTTTCTGCTGTGCTATTTCTACTACATGAGTAAGGATATATACATTCCTGGTAGAAAACTTCTTCCTCTGTTAAGTGCTGGAGATCCATGTGATGAAGAAAACTCAAAAGCCATCGAATCTACCTGCATTACCAACACCTACACCTCCTCTACCATCTGCTGCCTATCCTCAGCGGGCCTACACTGGAAAAAATCCAGTAACAGGAGCTCACTACCTCTCTGACAACTATATTTTTGGACAACATTGACTGATAGGAAACTTCCCTTTGTACTGAGGTCAAAATCTGTCTTTATAGTTTTTAACATGTGGCAGTTGGCCTCCCTTCAGC